GACGGGAGGATATAAGCAAGAGAGAGCAGTGCGCGCGCACATTTTCTTTCTCTCTTAATCTCATAAGCAGTTATTTTTTGTAATTTTATTTTGTTTTGAACAATTTTATGAATTAATAATTTGTTTAATACATTAAATATTCTACGTTCAAAGTAAATAAAATCGTAATTTCATTTTAAAGTTCATGTTTTGTGAATTTTCGTGTGAATAATATCAAATTATTGAAGGAAGCCGTTAATAAATTTAATTATTTGTAGAAAATTAGTATATGTATGTACATGTATATATTATACATATATGCATATATAAACATATAACGACGACTACGGACTTCCATTTGGCACGATCCTGCCTCCTGCATCTTCTTCAAGTACCGGTACGACTTAGGGGCAGATTCTAGATTCAAAAGCCTATTCCTTTCTAAAAAGCCGGCAACGCACCTGCAGTTCCCCTGGTGTTACAGATATTCATGGGCGACGGTGATCACTTACCATCAGGTGAGCCGTATGGTCGTCTACCTTCTCTTACATAAGAAATGCGGCATTAAACAATAGTAAAATTGGGTATGGGTTACAAAACGTAATAAAGTCTATACTTGTGTTTAGCTGTTTATTTTATTTCACTGTTTAATATCAAGTTTGTACGTTTCACGATGTTGTTATGGCAGTCTATTTTTATACTGTGCTAGGTATCGCTTGTTGTCGAAATTCGATCAATTGTGTGGAAAGAGTATTTCTTGCATAACTTTTTTCGTAATATTTGCCTGTACAGGAAAGGCAAAGGGATCTGAGCTCTTACGGTCATGAACGTGATCAAAAAACTTTCATTGAATTGGTTAAAGTTTTTGTATGGTAAAACCTAAAAATTCCATGTGTATTTTCAGTTTTTATTACATGCCTTAACGGCTTTTTATTATTTTTTTTATTATATCGTTAACAAGTGGCCAGTTCTAAATACGTTCAGTGTCTCCCTCGTAATTGTGGATCCTTTTTAGTCTAATTAATTTTTAGTCTTTTTAATCTAAAAGGGAATGAACTCAATTTGACTGTGTCTTCTTCATTTGTTTTTTTTTGTATCTATGTTTCGCGATGTAGTCGTCAGTTGTAAACCGATTTTTATGTTTTTTTTTAAAGGTTATTCGGGGGTAGGCTTATATAAATTTCTAGAAATTTCTCTTTTTTGAGTTTGTCTTGATTATTTTTGATATAGTTTAATCTCTCTGTTTCTATTTTGGCGTATTCATCCACCAAAAATGAACTAAAAAGGGCACGATAGTTGACTAAATAGTTATATTCTCCTTCTCTAATCATTATTCTATACGAATAGAGACTTACAGAAGAGACAGTTTTATTAAGCGGCAACTTAATTGTGGGATCGCGTTGTGGTATGTTGATTGAATACCCGTCATCCCCCCTAGGGTAGCAAAATAGGGGATGAAGATTATAATATAACTATTTATACAATATTGAGATTGTGATATTTCCTCAATCAACTCTTTAAATTAGGTAATTTTTGACAAAAGGCAAAATAACCACATTTTATATCTTTTCAAGTGAGGCATTAATAATTCTATGCGAAACTTAGAAGCGACTTCAGAAAATATTAAGTGAAAATAATTTTATTATTTTGAGCGTTTTAAAGTCTTTTTATACTTTTAATTAAAGATTTAGTTTACTAATACATAAATGCTGTTTCCGGCACCGCTATATTATGCAATGCTTTTTTTACAGATTCGACTGTGTCCTTTTTTTATGTGTGTCTTCTTAACTTTTCTCTGGGTGAACCGATTTTGATGATTCTTTTTTTATCCAAAAGCTGGTGCTTCTCGTGTGGTGTCGCATATAAATTTAATCAAGATCTGACTTGCAGTTTTTGAATTATCTTTAATAATGCGTAATTTAATTGACTTCAAATACATTGATTCGGTCGTATTGAATTCGGTTGTTCGAAATTTTTAATTTTACCACTTGTTTGCAGAAACATGTGGGTGCGTGCACTACAATTAACCAAAGTTACATTGTAATCGTAAGAATGGTAGAGAGTAATGCATACGATACAAATAAAATAGGTATATAGGTACATAAAAATCACGCCTTTAATCCCTGAGAGGTTAGAGTCCAAAATCTTGCTAGCTACTTGGACATGTTTAGCCAAAAAATGGGTTCGAAAGGAAAATTGTAAAAGACTAGATAGATGTACTTATAACCTATTGCCAACAGGCTACACAATCACAAACCCAATATACCATTAGTCGCCATTTACGACTTGCTAAGCAAGTTATGCAGTTGCCACATGGTTTTTTTGTTGTAAGTCTCACTTTAATAAAACGACAAACAAAGTCGTATTTTTTTATAGGATAAGGTTGGCAAACAAACACACACTTGATCGTATGATAAGTGCTTGCTGTGACCCATAGACATCTACATCTATCCTCGATTACGAATCAAAATATAGATGCACTGTTACCCGTGAGGACTAAGATGGAATGCCTCGTTTACACTAAAATGAGTGTCCGGTTCTCTACACTCACCATACGTAACATAGCAGCGTTGTGCTGCTATTTTGCGTTGGTATTCTGTGAGAGCGCGGTCCTTCCCCATTCGAGCCGACCCATTCGCTGCTGCAACTATACTACTTTATAATATAGCTGCACCATGGCTCTACCAAGTAAAGAAATTCAATATTCCATCGATACATCCTTTTGTGGCCGGGCAAGGTGTTCTATCCGGGGAGCGGCCAATGCTCCGTCTGATAATTCAGAGGTATTCTTTATATTATGTATAATACTGCTTTATTTCGCAACTTTGATAGCGCGATTTTGGCTGCGATGTGTTTCGCTTGTGGCGCGACGACAGCGCCGCCACATTCATTACAGATTATAAATGTGCACTGCCGGCATCCTCCATAGATTGTCTCATAGGGCTATATTGACCTGTTAATGGACGTATAATAAATTATTGTTTAATAAGTTTCGGGCAAAATTTACACTATAAAGTTCATTCATTTATTACATCATTTTTCATCACACAGGCCTCCCCCATATATGCTTCATAGGGGGAATTACGCCATAGTTGCCACGATTGACAGGCGTCACGTATTAATGATTATTTTCAGCACGAATGAGTCGGTTCGACGGAAAAGTATGACTGCTTTTCACACAAATTACTAGCGTAAAAAATAATAAATAAAGCAGCTGTTTTTCCTATGGTAATTCATGGTAACTGGAGATCTACTAGAAACGAGGCATTCCATCTTAGCCCTCAGGGGTCCCAATGCATTTTAATTCTTAATAGCGGATAGATACAAGTGGCTATGGACCGCAGCATCCATTACTATCGTGTAAACTGAGAACTTTTTATCACCTTTAACCGTCAAAATTTTTTTTAGTCTGGATTTGGTTAATCGCGTAGTGGTGGTGTAAGAATATCCACTACCCTATATCGTCCCTGAGGGTATCATAAGAAGAAATAGAGGAAAAATGAAACAGGAGATGGGCAGCAGCATCTTTCTGAAAACAACTTAAAGTAATAAGAAACTGCGGTTGCCAATATGCTTGCCGAGCGTGGCAACTATGGCAAAAGCCCCCCATGAGGCAATCTATGATGGAGGTCTATTTTCAGCAGTGTAGGTTAAGGATGTATAGAAGATAATCTACCCGGAGCACATGACCCACTGAGAGGTGAAATTAATAAATCGACAGTTACATTACAACTATGTCAAAATATCCCCCCTATGAGGCAATCTATGAGGGAGGCCTATGTTCCGCAGTGGACTTTAATAATCTGCAATGGATGGATGTATAGAAGATAATCTACAAGGAACACATGACCTACTGAGAGGTGAAATTAATAAATCGACAGTTACATTACAACTATGTCAAAATATCCCCCCTATGAGGCAATCTATGAGGGAGGCCTATGTTCAGCAGTGAAATAAGCTGCAATGGATGGATGTATAGAAGATAATCTACTAGATACACATGACCCACTGAGAGGTGAAATTAATAAATCGACAGTTACATTACAACTATGTCAAAATATCCCCCCTATGAGGCAATCTATGAGGGAGGCCTATGTTCCGCAGTGGACTTTAATAATCTGCAATGGATGGATGTATAGAAGATAATCTACTAAATACACATGACCCACTGAGAGGTGAAATTAATAAATCGACAGTTACATTACAACTATGTCAAAATATCCCCCCTATGAGGCAATCTATGAGGGAGGCCTATGTTCCGCAGTGGACTTTAATAATCTGCAATGGATGGATGTATAGAAGATAATCTACTAGATACACATGACCCACTGAGAGGTGAAATTAATAAATGGACAGTTACATTACAACTATGTCAAAATATCCCCCCTATGAGGCAATCTATGAGGGAGGCCTATGTTCCGCAGTGGACTTAAGGCTACGGTCTCCTATTAAACGCTATACGCGACGTCCGACTTCAGCGTAAACGTTCCGATCGGCGTCTGAACGCCAGGCACAGCGTCAGCGGTCAATACATATTAGCAACGGACGACGTCAAACAACAGAAGTATAAGTAGCCGACAGTGCTCACGTGTGGTTGTGTGTGATATTTGTTCATAAAATGGATATAAATTCAACACTTTTGGCGGCGCTTGTGTTACTTGATGAAGAGGCACAAGACGACCGTATACGAAGAAAAATAAAGGCAACAAGGCACCGACTATTTATGAAGAGAAATGAGGAAGGATGTTTCCAGCTATTGATAATGAAACACTTAAAAGACAGCGATTCTAAATTTACTGAATATTTTCGTATTAATCAAGAACAATTTAAATATATTGTAGAGCTTGTGCAGGAGTATGTAATAAAAGTGCCATCAAAAAGGCATCCTAAGCCCATATCGGCTGAAGAAAAAGTTGCTGTTACACTGAGGTAAAATAATAATCACTTTTTACTTACATAATCTTAATATAATATAATAATAACATAACATCAAAATAAAATATTAATCATTTGGTTGTCTTTCACATGTTAAAATATTCATTACTCCAAGAATCTTCAGGCATAGGAGTCACTGGAGAAGAAAGTCTTATCTCTGTATCCGATACTAACTGACAAACTTTCGCTCTGATGGCGGCTTGTTCACGCGGCGGAAACGTCTCCACCACTTCAGCCATTGACTCAAAAAATTTTTTGATCGCTGACTGAGGTTGAACTTGCGATTGATTTTTTGTATTGTTTACTAGTGCCTCAAGTAAATTTAGCCTCTGAATTTCCCTTTTGTCTAGTTTTTCTTGTAATTTAATTGGTTTTCGTTTCTTAGAGGTTGACGGACCTAGCGTAGAATTATCAGTGTTGCCAATATTTTCTTGTGTCGTAGGCCTGTTTTCAGCATATATCTCTTGAGTACAAGTATCATCGCATTCAAAATCAATGCCAGTATTGACCTCTGTATTACGAATACTTGTCTGAGAATCATTTTCACTAATTCCTTCTGAGCGAGAAACACTGAAATTATATAAAATACGTTAGCGAATAGATAGCGTATGTACTAACAAAGAGCTTGTTTTTGAATAATTGTATACTATACCGTCTCTCAGGAGCATCAGACAAAAAGGACATTAGATCCATGTATTCCCAAGTGCTATTTATTCTCGCTGAACCTGTGCCGCCCTCTTTCGTTTTTTTATTGTACTGGTCCCGAAGACTTTTCCACCTCTTTTTACATTCTGAAACTAAGAAGAATATTCATTAAAACATTTTTTAACTTATTTTTCAGGTACCTCGCAACCGGGGAGTCCATGCGATCACTAGCTTTTCAGTTTCGTATATCGCATAATTATATATCACTGATCATCAAGTCAACTCTAAAAGCAATGTGCAAACATCTTGTTCCTGTATATTTACCAAATATTACAGAAAATATTTTAAAGCAATCAGCGGAAGGATTTCTTTCCAAATGGAATTTTCCATGTTGTGCGGCAATTGATGGTAAACATATCCGAATCAGAAATATTCCTAATTCCGGGTCTTTATACTACAACTACAAGAAATATTTCTCTATTGTTTTGCTGGCTGTTACAGACCCAGACTGCAAATTTTTATGCGTGGACATCGGTTCCTACGGTAAAGAAAGTGATAGCGGAATATTTGTCAAATCGACTATAGGCAAACAAATACTCGATGAAACTTTTCCATTTCCATCAGACATTCAATTACCTGGCACGGATATATTTTTACCCCAATTTATTGTTGGTGATGGTGGATTTCGGTTAATGCCACGTCTCATGAAACCCTATCCATTTACTCAGAGCCAAGAAGATACTCAGAAAAGACAATTTAACTACAGACTGAGCAGAGCTCGACGTACTGTCGAAAGTGCATTTGGCATTTTGGCTAATGTTTTCAGAGTTTTTCATACACCAATACACATGGAACCTAGTACCATAGACTACTTAATTTTGGCGGCATGTTGTTTACATAATATGTTGATAACTATGAAAAATAATCGTGTATCCAGTAATGACTTAACCGACATACCATTGCCATCTGAAAATTTTCGACCTCTCAGGCGAGCGGGGGGGCGCAGAAATTACGTCAGCAGTAAATATTCGCAATGAACTTATGACATATATATGTTCACCGCAAGGACGGTTGACGTGGCAAAATTACTAAAATAATAAAAAATAATAAATAAAAACTTACCAGGCAATCCAACTACTTCACAAATTTTTTCCCAACATTGGTGTTTATAAACATTATTTTTATGTTCCTTGTCACCTTTATTATATATTGCAATATAACATTTAACTGTCTCAATCAATAACTCGTCTTTTTCTTTATTAAAATTGGCCATTTTGTACTGACGCTACACACGACGTTCACGCTGCAATGGTTCAAAATAACTAGAGACGCAGCGCAAAGCGTCTTACGCCGCCTACGACGTCCATACGCCGACGTCAGCGTGTAAGAGAGACCACAACAGTACATTTCTATAGTAAGCATCGTAACGCGGCGTACGGCGTGACGCTGTAAGCGGCCTACGGCGTTTATAGGAGACCACCGCCTTAATAATCTGTAATGGATGGATGTATAGAAGATAATCTACAAGGAACAGATGACCTATTGAGAGGTGAAATTATTAAATCGACAGTTAGATTACAACTATGTCAAATATCCCCCCTATGAGGCAATCTATGGCCTATGTTCAGCAGTGGACTTACGTAGGTTGTAATTGATGGATGAACCTGGAAATTCATTCATTCAGCTTTTTGCCACTTTCGTTAACTTTAATAAACATTGCGAAATTAAATTACGCTAGTATTCGTCATTGAAATTGACTAAACGGAAATTATCATTAGCACGGTATCTATTTTGAAGCGTGAGAGCTGTGTGGATAGGGATATTGGATTTTAGTAAGTTCACTCTGTTCGGAAAACGTAAAAGCTTTTCATTAACCTTCCATTTTAAATTATAATATTTTCTATATGTCGCCGAAAGGGTCAAATTTTAATATGTCTTATTTATTTATTTATATTTTTATACATGGTAGAGAGAGCCGTGGTAGCTCAGATGGTTAACGCTTGCTGTAAATATAACAGAACGCCAGTAACTCGGGTTCGATCCCCGCCGGCACCAGTGAAATTGTTAATTGCAATTTTAAGTGCTGATTTACCACGTGCTCGGCGGTGAAGGAAAACATCGTGAGGAAACCTGCATGTCTGAGGAATAAGAAAAAAAAATATTTCGAAGACATGTGAAGTTCGCCAACACGCATTGGGGCAACGCGGCGGACACTTCCTTGCCCTGAAACCCTCTCAGAAATGAGGGGGAGGCCTGTGCCCAGCAGTGAGACGTATATATGCTGTAATTTTACTTTTTTACTTTTACGTGGTAGAGCCATGCTGCAGTTATATTAGTAGTATAGTTGTAGCACGAATGGGTCGGCTCGAACGTGAAAGGACCACGCTCTCACAGAATACCAGCGTAAAATAATAGCTTAATGCTGCTGTTTCGTATGGTGAGTGTAGAGAACGGGAGACCCTTTTTACTGGAAACAAGGCATTCCATCTTATTCCTCACGGGCGATAACGCATCTGCATTTTGATTCATAATCGAGGATAGATGTAGATGTCTATGGGCCATAGCAACCACTTACTACCAAGTTGACTGTGTGCTCGTTTGTCACCCTCTCCTACAAAATAACCCTTTATCGCAAAACACCTTCAACTATGGGCTGCAAAGGGCGGACTTAATACCCTATGGAATTTATTTACCTACTAATCTATCTATCGATTAACCCTAAAAAAGATACCCCTTAAGACGAGGCATGCAGCTAAACGCAAGTTTTATAATGCCTCAAAGTATATGATCCACTGCAGTAAACAAACCCAGAAAAATATATGATATTTTTCTGGATATATGCTAGTTAGATACTGTGTTGAAAACATGATACTGCTAATTTAATACGACACAAAAATCACAAATATACTTCAAAACATTTCTTTTAACAAGTAAAAACCATACTAGTATACATGCAATCATTCTGATTTTAATCATAATGATATCGTTTCCAAATTAATTTGGTTCGACTCTGCGTTTCATAATTGATACTTGATTAAGCCGACTTCAAAAGAACGTTAGACTTACAATAATTGGACTGCTCTACTCTCGACGTGCCGCTTTGTGACGTTTTTGAAATATTAAATTGTTAGTATGTCTCAATTTAGGCACTACATCAATAAAAAGGGATGTTTTGAAAACTAGATATGTAAAATTATAGTCAGCGTATTTTTTAAATTCATTTAATTAGTTATATTTACAAAAAACATGTTAAAAAACATGTTATAAAATATTAGTACGACTGTCATTTAGTCTGTGCGCTTGTTTATCTTCACGTTTCAGAAATATATGCGCAACGAAATGAAATGAATCTTTCAGAATAAGTTTCCGTTTATCCTCAGGGTGCTCCCTATTGCTGGCTATTTAAGTATGTTTTTTTTTCATATATAGTCATAATAAAGACATAAATACAGAATGCGGACAAATCCGCGCGTGTAGAAATCCTATATTTAGCGGAACCGTTATATATTTGACTAAATTTTACTGAGAATTTATAGCTCGCGAGTAAGTTTCGAGTACATTATAGCACCCATGGTCACGTGGATTCCACTTCTGAATTTCGTAGTCAACCATTATCATGATGCAGAACGCTCGTTCTGCGTATATATTTTTTTTTAGAATAGAGGTGACAAAAAATCGGACCAAAAATTAATAATTATAAACTTAAGATAGTGTGAGTAGCTGTAAATTAAAACGTCGCGTCGTGAGTATAAAATAAGTTAATAAAACATGATAAAATCTGTAAAACTAGTTTCATTGAATGTGTACTTATCGCGTAAACATAGAAATCTTTCAATTCAAAGTTGTAATTTTTAACTTATTTTAAATTAGTGATCCGCCCCGGCTTCGCACGGGTTATTTATGGATCTTAACAACAGCGCCATCTACCGGGTCCGATTGAGTTTCTAAACCATCCAAGAACCAACAAAAAAGTTCATCGAAATCGTTCGAGCCGTTTTCGAGTTTTAGCGTATCTAACGCGCAGCGTCCTATTCAATATAAAAAAGAAACTTACTGAAAAGGAACCAACGGTTGTGTAAACGTTCAACTAAGAAACAGAAGGGAGGAATCGAGGCTTCTCTCGATCCGGCCTCCTATAACGCCTACGTTGGGTTCGTGAACAACGTATGTGATCTCCGCAACAGAGTAACACACAAGGGCGATAACCTCTTCCTTTTCAGCAAATAGGTTCAGACGGGGATTACGGGTCTTCCGAAGTCGTCCCGGTCCCAACGCCTTAATTCTTCGATGTGAACTGTATAATTTTGAGGGATGAATTTCTTGGGAATAAAACAGCAATTATCTTCAAACCGTTCCGTGAGAGAGTAATTACTTTTCCCTATCACTTCCCTACACTTTTTCTTTCTTCTTATTGACTGCTGGTCTGATTCCCGAAGTTTCTCCGAACTTTCCCGAAACTTCCCCGAAGGATTCCCGAACTTTCCCGAAGGATTCCCGAACTTTCCCGAAGGATTCCCGAACTTTCCCGAAGGATTCCCGAACGAATTGCAAGTTAAGTTGATGTCATCTACACGCACCTAGGTACATGCAGGTATCGGGCCTCGGGGTATACCCCATTGCCCGGATATCCTCCGATACCCCATAACTATGGGGCAGTCACTTTTTGCCTATCTTGGCATGGCTATACTACATTTATAATGTAGTCGGATAAGAAATTACTTTCCGTAGTTCACCGACTACGGAAAGGGAGGTAATCTATAAGTCTAAGTTGGCCTTTCTGCGGCATTGTGGGTTGTTACTCAACTCTCTAATCACATATAGAGAGGAGTTCTCTTGGAAGAGGTCGCCCGTCCGGTGGCCGGGTGTGTAACGGCGCAAAGCCGTTCAGGTGTTCATGTGGCCCGTTATCAGCACGGTCGAACATGCCGCGCGCTAACCGGGCCACGAAGTCCGGTGATGGTCTCGACTTTCAGATCGGCCGCTATAACGTCATTCCGGACGTAACGACCCGCTCCGACAATCGTCCTTAACGACAGGTTCTGCTGGGCCTGTAGTCGCCGCCTCTGGGTGTCGCTCAGAAGCGCGTACCAGGCCGGAGCAGCATAGGTGGTAATAGTCCGGATATACGTCTTGTATATCCGGAGCTTGGTTTTTATGGGCAGCTTGGACGCCAGGACCGGACGAAGCATCGCCCGCGCACATCTGGCTTTGCGGACGACGAAGTCGACGTGCGCAGTCATGCGCAGCGCCCGGTCGATCCGGCACCCGAGGTATGTCACGGCCTTCTCGTACGCGATCTTCTGGCCGTCGAGAGTTAGTGGTGGTGGTAAGTTTCTGAGGCGGCGAGTGAGCAGAGCGGTCGTCTTACCAACGTTGACGACCATCCTCCATTCGTTCAGCCATGGTGGCAACAGGTCCAGCAGACGCTGCATTTTGGCAGCGGCTATATGGGCTCTTCGGGACGAGGTGAAATAGGCGCTATCGTCCGCGTATAGCGCCAGCTCAACGTCGTCCTCCCATTCTTGCAGCCTGCCTGCCAATGTTGGGATGTCATTCGTGTAAGCCGCGTACAGGACTGGAGACAGACAACTGCCCTGTGGGACGCCGGCACTGATGGTTCTTGTTGCGGACTCGGCGTCCTCTACGCAGACGTAGAACTTCCTGTCTTCCAGGAAAGACGCCATTAACCGCAACATAGCAGGGGGGACACTGGTCTGTTCGTGTAACTTACATAGTAATCCTGAGTGCCACACCCGGTCGAACGCCTTCTCGATATCGAGAAAGACGCCCAACGATATGCGGCCACGATTGTACTCTGCCGCAAGCAGGTGCAGCACTCTAGTCAGCTGTGTGACTGTAGAGTGACCCCTCCTGAATCCGTGCTGCTCCGCCCGAAGTTGGATGCACGGACGGAGACGTCTTAGCAGCAATCTTTCAAACAGTTTAGCTATGTGCGGTAATAGCGTAATCGGCCTGTAGCTGGCAGCTCTACGCCTGTCCTTCCCGGGTTTCGGCAAGACGATGATTTTGCTTTTTTTCCATTCCTCCGGGAAGTGGGATGTCCGCAATATCCCATTGTAGAGTCGACCAATCTCTACTAGGACTTTATAGGGCAGCTGTCGGAGTGCAGCGTTGGTAATCCCATCGTGCCCAGGCGCCTTCCTCGGTTGCAGGCGGGTTACTGTCCTCCGCAGTTCAGCGGGGGAGATGAACCACTCTCCTGCAAGAGGCGGCGCGGGCGACGACAGGAACTCCTGTACGCGACTCTCCTTT